GCAATTCTCCCCTTCTTTTGGTACTAGAGCCCTGTTTTGAGGAGGCAGATAGTGGGGGGAACTTCGCCTTCCTGATGGAATAGATTAAGATGCCCTGTGCTTCCTGACTAAGAGGGGGGCACATACAGACATAGGAGATGGAAAATCTTCTACCTGATCTTCTAGGTATAAGGATCATTTGCTGGTTCCTAAGAGATATTTTTTATTACCTTTTATCTCATATACTGAACAGAGATTTGACACCAAGCAATAATGTACTCCTTCTCCAAGTCTCTTTGGACTTGAATTCCAGCCTCCCAAACACACCAATGCCAACATCCCCAATGAGACTCAGTTGAGCTTTGGGAATCAATAATTATATGATAAGAGATATTAACCTTTTCCCAGAAAAAACAATGTGATCACAAAACTGAGATAAGCCTTTTTACCTGCATATCTTTATATGTTATGCCACCTTATATATGTTGGCCGGATGCTATACCTAGAGCTATGTAGGCAATCTTTGCTACCACATCTGTCAACACACAAAACAGTAGAATTCAGACACAGAGACTTTCCAACTATATGAGCCAATAAATTTGAATTCTGTGGCTTACATCTTAAAGCAAACTAATTTAGAACTTGGTGCCAGGAAATAGGGTGATAGAACCTAAAATGTAAAACCTATTTAGTAAAGAAAGAGGGCAGGGTAGTGAAAGTCTCCTCATCTCCTAGGACAGTGGTCGGCAAACTCATTAGTCAACAGAGCCAAATATCAACAGTACAACAATTGAAATTTCTTTTGAGAGCCAAATTTTTTAAACTTAAACTATATAGGTAGGTACATTGTTATTAACTTAATTAGGGTACTCCTAAGCTGGCCTCCTCAATCTGATTGAGGAACCTTCACTGAGGTCGACCCCTTCCAACTCTCCCATCCACACTCGTCTTGTATACTTGTTTCAGATAGATGAGTGTGGATGGGAGAGTTGGAAGGGGTCAACCTCAGCGAACGTACCTGAAAACAATGTACCTCCCCCACGCTGCGTATACCGTGGCCCGCCTGTGCCGTGTCTCCCTGCAACCGACCGATACCCCCCACTTGTTCTAACGCCACTTCTTCAAAATAGACTCACCCAGGCCGAAAACCGACTTCTGTGCATGGGCCACGAAGTTTCAATCGCACTGTACGTGCGTGCCCACACGTGGTATTTTGTGGAAGAGCCACACTCAAGGGGCCAAAGAGCCGCATGTGGCTCGCGAGCTGCGGTTTGCCGACCACTGTCTTAGGAGGAAGATGGCTCCTCTCATTGTGCAGTTAAACCTATTGTCTTGGAAATGAGACCACCTAACCCAGCCGTGGGCAAACTATGGCCCATTTGAAATGAATAAAACTAAAAAAAAAAAAAAGACCGTACCCTTTTATGTAATGGTGTTTACTTTGAATTTATATTAGTTCACACAAACACTCCATCCATGCTTTTGTTCCGGCCCTCCGGTCCAGTTTAAGAACCCATTGTGGCCCTCGAGTCAAAAAGTTTGCCCACCCCTGACCTAACCAATGGACTGATGTTTTAAGAACTTGGTATAAAATGTCAGGATAATGGATTGTGTTGGTTACTTCTTACTGCCTTCAGGAGTCCTACAAGAAAGAGACAAGCTGGCAAGTTTGAAGGTAGAAAGGACACAGATACAAATAGAAAGGTGTTCTCCTCAATTATTGACAACCAGCCCAAAAGACTGAGAATTAGGTAATCCAGCTTCTTAAGAGATTACTGAGTTCTATGAACCAAGGAACAAAAGAGGGAAAGTGGGAGAAAAGACTGGGTCCTGGGGAAGCTTGACCATCTATGACCATTCCAACATTTTTGAGTGTTGAATGAGTTCTTAGTTCCTATATTTATTTAATTTAAATCTTATCCATTTCATAAGTATATCTCTATTTGAATTCTGTTCATATTCTTTTAAGTGTTTACCCTTTATATAACTGGGACATGTTCTGAATTCTACTTTCTAAAATTTTGACACAAAATATGAAGAAGCATAAATAAAAAGACAATATACACTTAATTTATAAAATAAGCTACACAAACAAGGGGATAGTAGAGGAGTATGAATTTATGAAAGTTACTCTGTCCATCTTTATCACAATGCCCTTGTTCCTCATTCAGAACAAATTAAGGTTACCCTGGTTTTATTTAGATGTGGAAAATAAAAACAGTAAAGTTACTGCCTCAAGGCATCCCTTTCTCCACCTCTGGCCAACCCAGATTTCTTCCATAATAGTGGAAAGAATCAAACCTACTTTGTGCCCAAGTTGAAACTTAAAATACACATTCCCAGTGGGCATTGTTTTACACAGTAGCTATGTATTACTCAAGTGATATAGTGATCTATTTACGGCATATGACACAAAACAGACCTTTAGAGTTGGCCTGATATTCTAGCCACCAATTATAATACCTAAATATAAAAACAAACATTAAAAAAATCTATATATAAGAGCCTTTTGGAACACAATCCCATCACTACATGATCAAATGAATAGTCCTAACTTGACATGAAGTCATTACAAATCACAAGGAACTTCAATTAGTGGTTACTTCCATAAAACAATGTATCGAACCCCCTCCCCCCGAGAAAATTGATTAAAATGTCAATTAAGGTTATGTTTGATTCCAATTTAAAGATAGAATTTTTAAAAAGTTAACAATAAGAGAAAAATCTCTAAGAAAAGTGCATGTGATGATCATAAAAGTTTTAACACATCAGAAAAAAATGACAGCACCCTTTGTTCTACTACATTTATAGAATGAATGATTCCTCATGACACATGCAATTGTAATCTCACTTCAATCCCATTTTCTACCTTGCAGACAGGAATTTTTTTCTGAAAGCATCAAACAAACCTCATTGTTCTCATTCCCAAAACCCTTTTATGGTTCTGCACAGCCATCTGGATAAAATAAAAACTCTTTAGGACAAAATTTTCTTGACCTGGCTCCAGCCTACCACTTCTGTCTCTGGCTTTCTATCTCTACCTCTCCGTACCCTCACAGGCACAGAGAAGTGGTGTTCTGATGTCTCCTTGCCTGGACTCCAGAGCCCCCTCTACTTGGGCTGTCCTTCCCCCAACACTCTTTCTCATACTTGTCTAAATGCTCCTCCTCTAGAAGCCTTCTGCCCATTTCCCATCTTGGTCCACTGGTCTTCCCACACGGTACTTTTAGGAAAGAATAAAAATTTGCTTCTCTGAGAATAATGGCCATCAAGTAGGACAATACACTCTTGCTGACTCTGTGTCATAATTTACAGTAACATAACTACAACATATTCTACTAAAACAATATCCACTACTAACAAATGTGTTAATAAATTTCTGTCCCCCTCAGAAGTAAATCTCCCTAAAACTGAGATTCCGTTTTGACTGTATTATTCTTATCATGCATCTTAATTAACTTTGATATCTTTTTTCAAGTGAAATGCTATTATTACTTCATTTTATTGGTTTAAGATGCGTGCTGTGAAAACTGAAGCATTACAGTCCCACAGGTCATAGTAGAGTCACTTTTCTCAGATTCAACCTCTTTATGATTTAGAAGATACCATAGTAGTCAAAAACAAATGTAGTGAGAGAGAAGGATAAAAGGAAATCAAAGGAGCTCTGAGACAAAAATACCAGGGAGGCAGAGAAATTTGAAAAAGCAGCTGAGATTCTCCTGCTGGCCTTGCAGAAGCGAACAAACATTATGAATTGCCTGTGGAGGGGTCATATAGCAAAGAACAGGGGGGCTTTTAGCAGCTGGAAGCACTCTCCAGGCAAGATCAAGCAAAAGAATTAAAATCCATTAAGGAACTGTTTGGTTGTTTTTAATCCTCACCCTATGACATGCTTAGAAAGAGAAAGGGGGAGAGAGAGAAACTTTGATCAGTTGCCTTCCATAAGCTCCCCGACTGGGATCAAACCCACAACCCAGGTATGTGCCCTTTTAGTGCACCATCTGAGCCCCTCTAGCCAGGCGACCTGAGTTTTGCTAACAACCTGTGAACTTGTAAGAGGACGTGAAGCCTCAGACAGGATCATAGCCCAATTGAAAACTTAATTTCAGTATGTGAAACTGGGCAAATGCCCCAAATGAGGCCTGGACCCCTGACCCACAGAAATGATGTGATAATAAATTTACATTGTTTAAGTCATTGGTTTTGTGAGAATTTGTTAAACAACAATAGAAAACCAATACATCATGTGTTATAATTAAGAAAATATTGCTCGTGGATATGTTTGCTTATAAGTTCTGTCCACATCAAACATTTGTTTGCTCAAATATATTGCCTTTCCTATGTAATCCAGCAACAAATAAGCTTCCATTTTCATAAAATTTGAACACTTCAAATTTGTTATAAAACATTTGATCTCTGAGCTTTAGTTGACACAAAATATATCTAAAACCGAAAACTGAATTTAAAAGTATATTTTCCTAAAGTTTTGCAAACTTACTATTTTAGAAAATATTTACCATATTCCATGATCAGAGAAAAAGGTACACATTAACATACTTATTTCTCCTCTCAGTATTTATGTTAATCACTAGAAAATGTCATATTATGAAATACATCATATTGTGAGCTTATTCACTCATTATGTGAATATTTTATTACAATATGCAATATGTGGGAAAAAGAGATAGACTAATTTCACAATCAAAATAAATTATATAAGGTTGTATAATTATAACTTCCCCAACATAACAATCTGTAATCTAGTCAAATTGGGGGGAAAGAGTTTGGCATTATTACCCATCTACAGTGAGAGGGAAAAATAAGCTGCCATCTAGTATTTTCAAATTGTAACAACTAAAATTGTCTTCTGTACTTTTATCAAATAGAAAATTTGTAGTTAAATAAATTTATAAACACCCAGAACCGAGTTTCTTATTGTTAGTTGTTCTAGTAAACCGTTTTTTTACAATTACAAATAAAGTTTGGTCTTTTAAAAGACAAGCTATGTTAAGTTAGCCTACCTTCCACACTCAAAGTCCCCATTTTAGACTCCAAGAAATCAAATAATGTGCTTGGTGCTGATGGCCTTGCATTTCCCAGTTCTTCTTCATCTTCAGATCTTATTCGTCCCCTGCCTTTTCCTTTGCCTTAAGAAGTAAGACATATAAATTGTATATGCATAAACAAAAGGCGAAATACACTAAAACATAACTAGCAGATACCTTAAGTAGGATTTTGTATATATTTCTTTTCATATTTTTTGTACAGTTTACATTATTCATAAGAAAATTTTTAAATGACTGTATTAACTAGTACATTTAATCCTGTATTAACTAGTACATTTAATTCTCTAAATGATCTATCTAGAAATTTAAATTTTTTCATATAAATTATCTTTTAAAAAATCATTTTCACACATTTTTTCTTTACCCACTTATTTTTTTAAAAGACTATAGGATTAGGAATGGGAAAAAATCACATAATACATTTGACTGTGCAACTAAAAATCACATGATGCATTCAACTATGCAATTAAAGAATAACACTAAATAGTCATGTTCTTGTTCATTTAAAAAGTTTTCAGACTCTTCAGTCATTTATACAAGTGGCATGGTACTAGGTTAATAGAACTAGTCACTTTATATTTCCTGTATTACATCAACCCTGCCAAATAAAGTATTGTTAGACCTACTTTATATAAAGATGAAGACAATGAAATGCAGCATAACCTGCACAAGTCTCTGTAGTTCTAAAATTAGAAGAACTTATCACAATGGTAAATAAAGTTACAGCCATCACAGCAACAAAACCCAGGCTCTGTCAACAACATATATTCCTTTGAAAAGCAAACAATGCTATGTGGCACATTGCTTAGTGAGTTATACCTCTCAGAGGTGGACCCGAAACAGGTTTTTGTTTATTGCTGTTAAGAAGTACATTCAGTGCTGCTTCTAAGTTGTTGCCATTATCCATAAGAGCTTGCCTTGACGCTTCCTTACTGAAGCCCATTTCTGTTATGTGCTTCAGAGCCTTCTCATCAACCTGTAAAGAATGAAGAGAAAAGCTATGCTGATAGGCAATAAATAAAGCAAGTTATAACTTTTCAACTGTACATTGTTTAATTTCCTTTTAATTGAATTTATTGGGGTGACACTAGTTAACAAAATTGTATAGGTTTCAGGTGCTCAATTCTGTAACACATTATCTATACACTGTACTGTGTGTTTATCACCCTGTCTCCATCCGTCACCATTTATCCCCCCTATACCCTCCTCTACCTCCCCCCACAATCACCACATTGTTCTGTGTCCATGAGTTTATTCTTTTTTGCCCAATCCCTCCACCATCTTGCCCCTAACCCAGCTCGCCACCCCACTCCCGACAGCTGTCAGCCTACTCTCTCTGAGTCTGTCTCTACTTGGCTTGTTCATTTTGTTCATTAGATTCCACATGTGAGTGAAATCATATGGTACTTGTCTTTCTCTGACTGGCTTATTTCACTTAGCATAATGCTCTCCAGTTCCATCCATGCTGTTGCAAAAGGTAAGTGTTCCTTCTTTTTTTATGGCTGAGTAGTATTCCATTGTTTAAATGTACCACACTTCTTTATCCACTTATCTATTGATGGACCCTTGGGCTGCTTCCAAGTCTTGGCTATTGTAAATAATGCTGCAATGAACAGAGGGATGCATAAATTTTTTCAAATTAGTGTTTAGGGCAGTGATGGCGAACCTTTTGAGCTCGGCGTGTCAGCATTTTGAAAAACCCTAACTTAACTCTGGTGCCGTGTCACATATAGAAATTTTTTGATATTTGCAACCATAGTAAAACAAAGATTTATATTTTTGATATTTATTTTATATATTTAAATGCCATTTAACAAAGAAAAATCAACCAAAAAAATGAGTTTGTGTGTCACCTCTGACACGCGTGTCATAGGTTCACCATCACTGGTTTAGGGTTTCTTCAGATAAATTCCCAGAAGTGGATCACGGGGTCATAAGGCAGTTCCATTTTTAATTTTTGAGGAAACTCCATAGTGCTTTTCACAGTGGCTGTACCAATCTGCATTCCCACCAACAGTGCACAAGGGTTCCCTTTTCTTCACATCCTTGCCAACACTTGTGGTTTATTGATTTACTGATGATAGCTATTCTGACAGGTGGTTTTAATTTGCATTTCTCTGACAGGTAGTGATGTTGAGCATGTTTTCATGTCTATTGGCCACCTATATATCCTCTTGTTAATCCTCACCCAAGGACTTTTTTCCCCACATTG